GAGCCTTTTAGCCTAAACGGACTATTCCTAAATGTGCGCGGTAATGTACCACTATGCTACCAGAGCTTAGGTAGGATATACTTAAGATCTTATTTTGGCTTTTGTAGACTTGTTTTAATTTTCTTCAACTTAAACTTGCATATGAGCTATTGATGGTCTGTTCCATAGTCATCCTCTGACTGATGATACTGAGTTTCTTCTTCATCTCTCTCCACAGATGGAGTCGATTTAATTCGTGTGTATTCCATTTGGTGCGATCCACACGTATAGTCACTGTTTATATTGTTGTAAAAGGTATTTGCAATGAATAAGTTGTTGGTTGTGCAGAATCCTATCATGCAGTCTTTCGTGTCACATCTATCACCAAGACCATACTTTCCAACTACTGATCCTACTTCTTTGTTTATAGTTTTCACATCCCAATCACCAGTAATTATCAGTACATTTTGATTGCATGTTTGATCAATTTCAGACTGCAGAAATCGATAAAAGTATTCAATATCTTCATCTTTGGAATAGAGGTTAGATTTACAACACATATTTTTTGGACATTTAATCCATAACACTGAGTAACTGTTAAAAGTTTGGTATTGGTACAATGATAGACAGACCAATGGAACAGAAATGAAAAATTGGAAATAGACCTGTCCATCTATGGATAGCTGATCTTTGACAAAGGACCAAAACCCATTAATTTGGGGAGAGATAGCCTCTTTGACAAATGGTGCTGGCAAAATTGGATATTTGCTTGCAGAAAAATGAAACAAGACCTATACAAAAACGAACTCAAGTTGTGTCAAAGGCTTAAATGCAAAACTATAAAGTTCATCAAAGATAAAATAGAGGCAAGTCTAGGGGCCCTAATCTATGGCATAAATAGACTATCAAACATAATCCAGAATGCACAGCAGGTAGAAGAGAACCTAGATGACTGAGACCTTTTAAAAATTAAATTCTTATGTGCATCAAAAGATTTCGTCAAAAGGGTAAAAAGAGAACCTACAGATTGGGAGAAAATATTTGCCTATAATATATCTGACAAAGGACTTATCTCCAAAATCTATAGAAAACTTCAACACCTTGACACCAAAAAGACAAACAACCCAATTCAAAAATGGGCAAGGGAAATGAACAGACACTTCACTAAAGAAGATATACTGGCAGCCAACAAACACATGAGGAAATGCTTATGCTCATTAGCTGTTAGAGAGATGCAAATCAAAACAACAGTGAGATATCATCTCACCCCAGCAATAATAGGAAAGTTCAACAAGGTAGAAAATGACAAATACTGGCAAGGTTGTGGAGAGATTGGGACTCTCATACACTGCTGGTCGGATTGCAAAATGGTACAACCATTAGGGAAAATGGTGGGAGCTCTGGTAGCATAGTGGCTAAGGCACTTGACTGCTAACCAGAAGGCTGGCAGTTCAAACCCACCAGCCACTCCTTGGAAGGAAGATG